AGAACTCTTATAGTACCTGCAGAACTTCATTTTTAACATTTAGATCCTGATCTACCTGGTGTAAAATGTGGATCTATTATCTTTTTCCAAATGGTTACTGAGTTGTCCCATCACCATTTATTAAAAAGTCCATCTTTACCCCTAGAGATCTGAGTTCCAACTTTTGTCATATATCAAGTTCCCATATATATTTGAGTTTAATTCTGAACTCCCCATTCCATTCTACAAGTCTCAACAGACATTAAATGGTACTATCCATTCATCTGCCAATACCACACTGTTTTAATTACAGAGGCTTTATATGGTATGTTTTAATGCACGGTAGGCTGGTCCCCCTCATAATTTTTCTTTTCCAGTGTTTTCCTGGCTATTCTAACAGATTTATTTTTCCATACCAACTTTTAGCATCAGCTTATCTAAATTCATAAAATAGTTGCTGGTATTTTATTGGGATTACATTGAATGTATAAACTAATTTAGGGAGGAACTAACATCTTTATAATTCTGAGTCACGGCATTTATTTATTTATTTATTTATTTATTTATTTTTTAAATTTTATTTTGTCGATATACATTGTGATTGATTATTGTTGCCCCTTACCAAAACCTCCCTCCCTCCTCCCTCTCCTCCCTATGGCATTTAAGAACAAGGGCTATTTTTCCATTTTCTAAGTCTACTTCTATGTCTTTAGATACTGTTAAAATTTTTTCCTCTTATAGGTTTCACAAATTTCCCAAGTATTTAATTTTCTTTGTTGCTACCACAAATGCAGTTTACCCAACATTATATCCTCTTATTATTTATTTGTGTATATGAAGGCTACTGATTTCTGTATGTTAATTTTATATCTTGCTACTTTCCTGGATTATTTTGTTTGATTTAGTTTTGTCATTAATTGTCTGGAGTTTTCCAGCTATACTATCATATCATCTCCAAACTGAGACAATTTTACTTCTATCTACTTACCCATTCTTATGCCTCTAACTGATTTCTCTTATCTAACTGCATTGGCTAATATCTCAAGTACAATGTTCAACAGTAGTAGAAATAGTGGGCATCCTTGCCTTTTTTGTGATCTTAGTGGAAATGCCTCTAATGTTTCTCCATAAAATAAGCAACTGGCTTTAGAATATTCCCAATATACATTCCTAATACCATTCTTAATAAAACAGGAATAACTGAGTACTTAAAAATTTTTTTTCATTGTACATGTTTATGAGGTACAGTTTGTTTCAATATATGCATATATCATATGATGATCTAATCAGAATAGTTGGCATATCTATCACCTAAACATTTATCATTTCTTTGTGGCTGTAACATTCAAGATCTGCTTTTCTGGCTATCTTGAAATTATACAATATAATATTATATTAGCTATGAGTACTTTTGTAACCTAATAAAATACACACATATCAAAAACCAATATCATGCTTAATGGTAAAAATTTAGAAGCATTCCCATTGAAGACAGGAAGAAGACAAGTATCACCAATATTATTTAACATTTTTCTAGAATTAACTGCTAATGAATTTAGTCCATTGAAGGAAATAGGACGTATTAATATAGAAAGGAAGAAGCAAGCATTATCATTTGCAGATAATGTAATCAGATGCTTTGAGTACCCAAGAGAATGAAATAAATCTCTTCTAAACAACGAAAGAATTCAGTAAGCTGTTAAGTACTACATGAATATTACTCGAAATGTACTTCTGTACATTAGGCCTGACATCATAACTTGGTACCACCTAGGTGAGATTTGCTCTATTATACAGAATATAGGTCTAAAAACTTGTTTTCATTGGTGGACTGAAAATTAATCAGGTTTAGAAGACTGACATACTAACTAAATTCAAAAAAGACAACTGATAAAGCATAACTATCTAATTTTCAGAGAAAAACATAAATACCAAAAATTTACATACTTCAATCTTAAATTCTTGTGTGCATTATTATGTAGCCTCATATGAAGTGACTATGTCTTCTCCCTATTTATGATTATCCTCCATTAATAGAATAGCCTAATAGGTAAGTATATACTGAAACTAATATCAATAAAGCATTAAGATATAGCATAGCATGTTTTGATGACTAACAATTCCTCTAAGAGAGAATTTAAGTCTGTTCTGGTAGTTTTTAGTACAGAAAGTGACTATTTCTTACTACTATTCAAATAATACTCTTCATATTTTGTTCATGTTAACTGGAATCCAGGACTTATAATCTTTTAGTTTACTGTTCCTTCTATCATACTATACTTAATTTTAACATATCATTTCTCTTTATAAACAAAATTGTAAATTAACAAATATTTAATAAATAGTATGTACGTAGTATAGTTGTCTTAGCTCAGTGAGGTATTTAATGCAGTAATGCATCTGCACTGTGCTTTACATTCCCAATGTTATAATTAATCCTACAGTTTTGGTGCTTGCTGCACCAAAATTCACTGTATAAACTATATAGTTGTTGCTGATTATTTGGCCTATGTCATTAAAAGTTGGAAGGGTGATAACTTTTGAAGAAAAAGATAGTAACTTGCAGGGGGAGTTTCTGAATAGCTGGTAATTCTTGTTTTGGTGATTTCATGGGTGTGTTCATCTTGTGATATTTTATGCATTATATACTTAAGATTTGTATGTCTTTCTGTACATATGTAATACTTCAATCGAAACAGCTGATTTTTTAATTTAAGCAGAAAATCAAAACAAAATAAAAACAAAGCACAGAAACAGATCTTTATATATTCCCCCTAAAGTACAATTTCTTTGGAGGCATGCTATATTACATGTAGCGTCTTTGTTGCTTAAAGAAAATACTAATCTTTAAACCCTAGAATTATTCAGCTTGTTAACTGTGGAAGAGCAAATTCACATCATCTATTTCGACTTCTGTGTGTATGTGTTTTAAAGTAGAAAGAGGGACTTAACTGTTGTATACAAACTGTTGTAATTGTTTATTTCTATTTTTTCATTCTCTTTTTCTTGCTCTCTCTTATTCTCTCTCTTAGTTGGACCTTTATAGTTGAATGTTCATAAGTTTAATGGGGATACTACACAACTAAGCTGTATAAACTGTTGTAGAAAAACAATTCCACTACACAAAACTGCAACATGCCCATACAGGTGCTACAGGCACATCAATCTACTAAAAATAGTCAAATCTCCCCTAACTGAACTCACTTTCTCCCTCACTAAGACTTATTTTTATACCTAATCCCTCTCCAGCAGCATAATTCTCCCAATGTGAAACCTCAGAAACATCATTGGCTCAAATTCTCTGCAATATCTAGCACCGTCAATATGATACAATGTTCTACCTCTGATAAGTCTTCTTCTCTACTGTTGTCCTTCCCATTCCCACTATTGTAACCCTGTTTGGTACTCCTAATACCTTGTCTGAATGATTGTAAAAATTTTCTACTTTTTATTCGCAGCTCTTCCCCATTTCAATTATTCTTTATCGTAATCAGATTAATCTTCCTGAGAGACAACTTTGACCATGCTACACCTGTTGAAAAAACATTCAATGGCTTTCCCTGCCTTCTTTTTTTTTTTTTTTGGTCCTTTTTTTGAGACTGACCACTGCGCTCAGCCAGTGAGCGCACCGGCAGCCATCCCTATACAGGATCCGAACCTGCGGCGGGACCGCCACTGCGCTCCCAGCACCGCACTCTCCCGAGTGCGCCACGGGCTCGGCCCTTTCCCTGCCTTCTTTTTTTTTTTTTTTTTTTTGGTCCTTTTTTTGAGACTGACCCCTGCGCTCAGCCAGTGAGCGCACCGGCAGCCATCCCTATACAGGATCCGAACCTGCGGCGGGACCGCCACTGCGCTCCCAGCACCGCACTCTCCCGAGTGCGCCACGGGCTCGGCCCTTTCCCTGCCTTCTGAATGAAGCCCACACTTGCCTTTAAATATCTATAAAGAACTTCTATAAACATCCGCTACATTAGCCTCCCTCCCTGCTTTTCTTTGGTCAATACCAAAATTATTTTAAGCACTGAAAGGGGATATACACTGTATAACATGAACAAGCAAAAAAAAACCCCCAAAACCAAAAACAAAAACAAAAACAAAAACAAAAATCTTCCAAAAATAAGGAAAAAAAGATTCAACTTGGTATGATTTTCGAACAAAGAACAAAATAAATATGACTACCATTCAAGATGGAAGAAGCCAAAGAAACGTCAGAAGTTAAAAAAAAATTTTTTTTTTAATCCCATCGATAGCTGAAAAATGTTTCATTACGGGCAAACTGGAACGTAACTCCTTTGAATGTAAATATAAACCTAGTTTTGAGGCTCCAAAGACTGGAGGAAGCACTGTTGTTGGATTTGAGCAGATTTCAAGACTCTGTCCAAACTTGATTCTTTCCTTACTAAAGCACACTAAGGTAAAAGAAAACACCAAGCATGGCTAATACCTATGTTTTTTTTTAAAATAAGGAGATGATACAATATAAAATAAATAAAACAACAACATTAAAGGCTGATGTTCTTTTACCAAATAATTAATATTTGATCTCATGACAAGATGAAGTTTGAAACATCCTCTCACAAAAAGAAGAAATATCCCCTAGGAATAACGGTTCAGTATTCAGTGTTCACAACCACTTTATATAACCTAACTACTACAAATAACAAGAATCAGCTGTTATCTCTAGGGAGTATAATTTATTTGAAACATGAAAATTACTGAAATGGTTAACTTTAGATATGCATAAAGCATACCAAAAGGAGACATTAAAAAGTAAGTATATTAAATACAGTAAAGTCTAGAGAGGAATGGCAAATAGATTTTATCTCGTACACCCGCTCTGAATAACATGTCCTGAATAAGGTGCCTTCTGGCTCACTGGGAAAGAGTACTATAATCAATCAACAATGTTGGTCAGAGATATGAAAAAGGATAAATCATGTTATTTGTGTCATGTATTTGCCATCCCTGTGCTATTGTACTTCACATAATCCTATAAAATGTACAATTACAAAATTACTTACTGCTTCAACAGAGTTACATTCTCGTCTTGTTTCTAAATAACGTAGTGCTCGTTTTTCTTCTTCTTTTAATTTAGCATCTGCCTGTCCAGAAGCAAAATAGCAATCATTTTAAGAATATGAAGAGGATAGCTCAAATCATCATATATACTAAGTTCTGACTTACATATTTCATATAATTCTGTACACCATTTTGTTGTAAATACGAGGGTGCCTGTGTTCTATAAAATCTCTCTGTTGAATCCAAGTACGCCTTCTCAAAATTGTCCCTATAAATTTGAAGCTTATCCTCAGGATTAGAACAAAGGTTAACTGAAAAACAGAAAATAAAATTTATTCTAATTATGATCTAAACTCGTATTTTGAGTACAATAATGAAATAGCAAATATTATGTGCAAGGTAACAATGCTTAAGAGAACATACAACCATATTAGACAAAATCCTTCTCCATAAGAAACTTAAAAACATAATGGCACAAGGCAGTAAAGTAACAATTAAATAGTACAGATAATATGAACTTTTATTTTTGAATAGGAAAGAGACTGACTTCTAACTGGATAATTAAGAACCATTCACAGAAAAGATGAGTTATAGACTGAATCTTAAGGAATAAACTATGATTTGCATAGATCGAGATTAGTAAGGCAAACAAATATTCAGAAGCAGAAAAGCATAAGTTATAATGACTAGGTTGTCTAAGAGGACTGTAAGGTTAACAGAAGATAAGGTAGAATGGTAAATTAGGAATGGTTGTAGAGAGCCTCAAATCTCAAGCTAAGTAACCTGAATTTAGCATGGTGTACCACTAAAGAGGTAAGTAGGAAAAATACCAATAAAATAGTATTTAAAAATAAATTTTGTGTGCAGTATATGGGTTAAATGATAGCAGTAAGATCACTGTACGAAGACATCCAAAAGTCTAGATATAGAGTTTAAAGAGGTGTACAATAGTGACACTTGAAATGAAAAGGAATAAATTTCATGGACATTGCTAATGAAAATCTAAAACTTGGTAACTAAAGAAATATAGAAGAAATGGAGAAAAGCCAGTTAAAAGTAGCTCTCATTAGTTCAACAAATACTTATTGAGAGTGAGTTTGTACCAGGCATTCTATGTTGAGTAAAGATACAGTATCAACAACAGACATGCCAGGGAGGCATAGGTATTTAGTAAGAGGACCTACCTAGTCCAAGAATTAGGAAAGGCCTCCATGAGGAAATAGAGGATAAAAATAAATAGGAAGATGAAGAGGGAGGACAAGGGAGAATTCTAAGTCAGAGGGAAAGAGCATATGTGATTGAAAGAATAAATGAGGGGCCGGCCCGGTGGCGCACTGCTACAGTGCGCAGCTTGGGAAGCGCAGTGGCGCTCCCGCCGAGGGTTCGGATCCCACATACAGACCGGCCGCTCACTGGCTGAGTGAGGTGCGGGAGCAACACCGAGGGTTGCGATCCCGTTGCCGGTCCCAGTCCGCTACGGGCGCGACACTGAGGGGTGCGACCCGTTCCCGGTCGCGAAAAAAGACAAAAAGGAAAAAAAAAAAAGAAAGAATAAATGAGGGGCCGGCCCGGTGGCGCACTGCTACAGTGCGCAGCTTGGGAAGCGCAGGGGCGCTCCCGCCGAGGGTTCGGATCCCACATACAGACCGGCCGCTCACTGGCTGAGTGAGGTGCGGGAGCAACACCGAGGGTTGCGATCCCGTTGCCGGTCCCAGTCCGCTACGGGCGCGACACTGAGGGTTGCGATCCGTTGCCGGTCACGAAAAAAGACAAAAAGGAAAAAAAAAAAAAGAAAGAATAAATGAGAATGTCAGTGTCAGAAATTGAGAAGTTAGGAGAGAATGTACACACAAAAGTAACTTTCTTCCTGAAAACATAAATAAACATAAATATAAAACCAGTTATCTTTTATAAGCTATAGATTCAAATGTATATTTCTCTAATTTAGGTCGCTAAAAAGATTTGCCAGCCAAGAAATTAATGACATGGAAAAAATAAATATTAACTACACAAATATGAATTTTTGTCAGTTTAAAGCAGAATTAATACCATTTGTGCATTTTCAAAAAAAAAGGCATATGACACAAAAGGTAGATGTGACTTTACATGCTAATAAACATAACTTTAGTACTGCTCTATAATTGTCTTAGAATTTCCATGAAGAGGAAAGTATGATCATAGAAGTTCAGAACATACCGTACGATTCTCTTACTCCAATGACCAGCTGAGAATCAAAAGCTTCTCCTAATCTTTCAGCATGTACCAGCTTCATTGCACTATCTTGGAGTCTGTTTTTTATATTTGAAAAGATTGACTCATTCCACGTATCAAGCATGAGCTAGGAAAACAAGAACAAAACAATGGCATCATTTTCAATCATTTATATACCAAGTACCACAAGTTTTAAGGTTGAATTTCAGAAATATTGTGGTTTGGAATACTCATATGGATGTTTGTTCAGACACACACAAAAATGCAAAAAAACCCCACAAAAAAAACACCCCAAAACTAAAAATCTGTTTGATATTGGACCTTTGAAAAATATGCAAATCTACCTTATAGCTGTTCCATTAAAATAATGGAAGTGGTATATACATTGATGAATACATATTAGTGCTCCACATACTTCTGTCAGATATAGAAGATATATAACTAACAGCAGTAGCAATAAATAATAAGAGTTGATGGTTTTACAACATTCACTATGTAGCTGAGACTGATCTACATATTTTCCACATGTAACTCACTCAATCCTCATAACCTTGATATAGGTACTATTATTATCCCCGCTTTAGATATGGGGAACCTAGGGCACACAGTACAAATCTAACTTTCCCATATTCACGCAGCTCATAACTGGCCACACTATGATTTCAATTCAATAACTGTGGTCCCAGAATTGATGGTTTTAATTATTAAGTGATCCTGCTTCCCACAATCAATGGAGAATGGTAAAACTTAAAGGAATAGCAGAAAAATAAGAGGAAAAGATCATAGAACTGCAACTTAAACAGCATCCAGAAGTGTTTTTTACCTTTTTTTTTTTTTTGGTACAAATTTCTCATATTGCAGTTATTTCTACCACTAAAGAACCACTGGGTACCTAAATGTACAGTATCCCTGTCAACATTACAGCAAATTTTAAGGCTAGGATGGGGCAACAATGCCACATTATTTTAATGCCTGAGTTTGTTACTATAACTATCACAGCAAACAGTAAGTTGCTTAAAGTTCAAATGTCATTTTTTACTTCTCAAATCTATGGTTCCATTTGATTCTCACAAGAAGATAAATGGTAAATGAAGACAGTGAGTTTGAAGAGTAATGAAGAATTGAAAGGGAACCCTTGAACCCTTCATTTCAGGGCTGAGTTCTTTCCATTAAATCACAATTGGTTACTGGACAAAAAGCTTTTAATCAGAAATTATGCAAAATATAAAAATAAGCACAGTATATATTAAGTTTATAATAACTAGAATCAAATAAAAAGACGAGACAGCAATTTAGCCATGACTAAACGCAAAGGTATCAGAAAACAACCTAATAAGAGATTTTGAAAGAGAAAAAAAGTAATTCAATTTATAGAAAGAAAGATAAAAGTACAAGAAAGATTAGGGAAATAAAACACTAAAGATAAAACTAGGGAAGGAGAACATGAAAAGTAAAAGTAAAAGAGGTAATGTTTGAAGACACAGATCTACAACTTATGACCTCATAAAAAGAAAGAGAATTGAAGCTACGGATGGATGAAAGAAAAATATTATTCAATAAAACTGAGGAAGAGCTAAAAAGGAATTTACACGTGAATTAGAAAAACCCATTTATAGTCTAAACTACTTTCAAATGTCTTCAAATTACCTTTTCTGTTAGGAAAAGAATGAAAAAAATGGACTCACCTTTCGAACAATACTGTCTTCTACATTTGATTTTTTATTGCTGCCCTGTTTACCCATTAAAGTAATCTCTAGTTGACAAAAAGGTTTCGGTAAAATATCACACTGTGTAAAGAATTTTCGCCATTCAACAATATATGCCTTTAGCAAAGCTGTATCATCTTGATGACTCAGTACTCGCTGAAAAAAAAATTGTACCAACTTTAAATTAATGTGGGTGCTTTGAAGAATAAGAACAAAACATATTCAGATCATAATTTTAAAATGTTTTATTATAAATATTATATTATAAAAAATAAATATTATATCCGAGAGAAATTAGAACATATGTTCATCAAAAAAACTTGTACACGAATGTTCATAGCAGGATTATTCAAAATAGACAAAAACTGTAAACTACCCAAATGTCCATGAACTGATGAATGGACAAACATTATGTAGTATGTCCACAATGGAATATTATTCAGCCATAAAAAGGAACAAAATACTGATAAATGCTACAATGCAGATGAATCTTGAAAATATTATCCCAAGTGAAAATCAGTCACAAAAGGCCATACATATATTGTATAATTCCATTTACAGGATGTGAAGAATAGACAAATCCAGAGATAAAAAGCAGATTAGTGCTTTAGTGATTGCCAGGAGTTGGAAAGAGGTGGCAGTGGGGAATGACTGTTAATAGGTACAGGGTTTCTTTTCAGGGTGATGAAAATATTCTAGAATTAATGGGTAATGGTTGTATTATTTTATGAATATACTAAAACCCACTGAATTGTACATTTCAAGAGGGTGAATTTTACAGTATGTGAATTATATTTCAAATTTTTTAAAAGGTAGTGGAGTCTATTTTCCTCCCTACTAGAGTTTAGGCTGGTCCTGTGACTTGCTTTGACCAATAGAATGCTACCGATGTAATATAAGATTTCCAAGCCTAGACCTGAAGAGGTCTTACAGATTCCACTTTTACCTCAAACGCTGGTTTCCTTGAGAACGAGAAACCACAGAGAAAGCCGGCACCAAACGTCATATACGTGATTAAAGCTCTCTTGGACCATTCAGTCTTTGCAGAGCCAACAGCTAACTGCTGCTTCATTATTAAGCTTAGGTGAAAAATTAGCTGGGCCCAGCACAAATTGCTAAACCACAGAATTATGAACAAATAAAATAGTTATGTTAACCTAAAAACAAAAGGTGTGTGTGGGGGGGGTGGGGGGGGCTGGCCAGTTAGCTCAGTTGGTTAGAGTGTGGTACTGATAACACCAAGGTCCAGGGTTTGATCCCTGAACCAGCCAGCTGCCAAAGAAAAACAAAATGAAAATAAATTTTTCAAAAAAAGAGAAAACAAAAAATCCAATATCCTAATAATTTCCCAAGCATTCTAAGTTTATTTTTACTTCCATTCTTTGTCATTTTATTATTGTTGTTTTATTTTTGGAGGGCGGCTGGCCGGTAGAGGGATTGAACCCTGGACCTTGGTATTATCAGCACCATACTCTAACCAACTAAGCTAACTGGCCAACCCCCCCTTTTTTGTCTTTTTAAATAATGCTATAATAAACCCCTTAATGCATTTTGCTTTTCCCATTTGGGAAATTTGGTCCTTCTTAACAAGATAAGTTAAATTGAATAATGTCTAGTAAAATGACTCAGAAAATGACATTTTCTTAAGAGTTTAAAAATCTTTTAAAAATTATACACCTAAGTCTGGCATTGCTATTCCTACAGTTTCATTGCTGTCAATCTGTGGTGCTAAATCCTACCCTCAGGTTCTTGCTGAGGTCCACATTCCAGACCTTATTGGGTCATGTTACCATGAAACCCTTACACATTTTGTTTGCTAGTGTTGAGTATATTTTTTAACATCTGTCTACAATATCTAAGATGATTCTTTATGAGCTTATTTCTAGAAACTGAGGAATAAAGATGTTATCAATAAAACATTTAATTTCTTAAGTAATATATCATGTGACATCATTCTTACTCCATCATGGTAGTGGCTACTAGGAGAATTAAAAACCAATCATATACTTGATTTCAATACCTTCCCTTCAATCATATATAGAAAAAACTCATTTTTTAAAAATTGTATGATTCCATTTATATAAAGAATGAAAACAGACAATATTAAGTGATGGTACTGGAAATAGGAAGTCAGGATAGGGGTCATGAATGGGGTGTGAGGGTTAGTGAATAGAAGGGAGCACCAGGAGGCTTCTGGTTGCTGGTAATGTTCTGCCTCTTGATCTGGCTATGTTTAGTTTGGGAAAATTCATCAACCTTGTATATTTACACTATGTGCCCTTTGAGGTATATGTACTATACTTCAATAAGAAGTGTTTTTAAATGATTGTCATGAATCTAATCAAGCCTTCAGACCAAAATTCCATTTGACAAGAAATTCAGGGGAAGAGGAACAAAGTAAAAAACACTAGAAGAAAACAGACAAATTCTTCATGTGGGTCAATCTACAAGGTAAATGGCCTGATCTCTTCAAAAGATCAGTGTTGGGCCGGCCTGGTGGCGCACTCGGTAGAGTGCGGCGCTCCCGCCGAGGGTTCGGATCCCATATAGAGACCGGTCCGCTCACTGGTTGAGCGCGGTGCGGGCGCGACACCAAGGGCTGCGATCCCGTTGCCAGTCGCGGTACGGGTGCGACACCGAGGGTTGCGATCCCGTTACCGGTCACGAAAAAAGACAAAAAGGAAAAAAAATAAAAAGATCAGTGTCATAAAAATAAATAAATAAAAGGTTAGGGGGCAAAAATAGAATAAAATTAAAAGAGCTAAGTGTGCTGAATCTTGATTGGTTCCTAGTTAGGAAAAAGTTATTAAAGATATTTTTGGGATGGTTGGGGACATTTGGATATGGACTGGATGTTAGAGAATTATTGTTTTCTTATGGGTGGTGATACAATAGTTACGAAGAATAAGGGCCTTATTTTAAAAAGATACACCCTTAGTATTCACTGTTAGGGGTGAAAAATCATGATATCTACAATTCCCATACGGTTCAGAAAAAAATACACACACAAAGCAAATATAGCATAATTCAACAAACAAGTGTTGAAATCTTGGTGCTGAGTGTCATTATATTATCCTTTTGAGTTTTCTCTATGAAGTTTTTCACAACAAAAAGTTGAAGGGAAATGCAGGCTGGACAGTTTTGATCCAATGTCATTCTGCTAATCTAATCCTCTTTTAATAATGCCCAAACACCACTCGGGGTCTGCTTCCCAAAAGTACCATTACCACGTGACCAGCAGATCCTCTGCATCTTGCAACTCACAGAGGGGGTACAGTACAGTGGGGAATCCCCCAAGCTTTGGCTCTAAGAACAAAGGCTGGAATCCTGGGGCCATTACTTTTTGAGTGTGTGATTTTTTTTTTTTTTACAAGCACCTTAATCTGGGCCTCAGTTTCCTCATCTGTAAATGGGAACAGGACTTCCCACCCCTTAAGGTGAGCATTACATGAGACCAAGCAGCCCTGACCTGCAGTGAGTGACTGAAGGATAAACATCGAGGTTTGAGGGTTTTTAGGCACTGGACTACCCTCTTGAACAACAAGGTCTGCTGCACGGCTGAGTCCCTCCTAAGTAGTACTGAGCAGCCAGGCCATGCAAGGGACACAGACTCAGGGTGGGTTATGGCCCTTCCCTGAACCCACCCCACCCACATTGTCACAAATAAAGTTGGCCTTTCTTGGATTCCTAGTCTGTGGTCCCTTTAAGGGAGCAGCCTATTGCCCACTCATCCATTCACCAAGGCTCAGCTATGGGGGCAGCACTCCTGGGATCCATGCCTGACATGGGCCAGAATCAGGTTCTGCTTCCCTCCATTCCTCCTGTGGGAGCTCAACCTGGCTGGCACCCAGGTCAAAGAAGAGATGCAAAATCTTCAGGCCATGGTGCATGCTCATAGGCAAAGGGAAGAAGAACTATGGCCAAATGCTAAGGCCTTGTTCCACTTCACCCCACTCCCGAAAAAATTCATTTTTACTTTTCAACTGCCGACAATGATTAATATTTAAGATTTTAACCAGGCAACTTTTACTAACGTTGTACGAGATACTGACATAAAAATTCAACTAAAGCATAAGAAATTCTAGCCCTCTAGTTTTCAGACTTCATTTTATAGACAAGAAAATAATCTGATGTCCTTAGGCCCTTCCTCAAAGTGGTAAGGGATTCATTCATTAGAGATGCCATAGATGATTTGAAATAATACATTATCTCTGCATTAATTTTTCCCAAAAGACAAAGGTGTCAGTAAAAGCAAAACTAACTCTTGCATAGTCAACCTAATGCCTAAGTGAGCTTTGTCCTCATTTCAATAATATTAAACATTTATATACAATATCAACACAAGAGTGCTAAATTTCAGCTCGGCAACAATATAAAGAACACCCCAATGATTTTACAATCAGAAAAGTATCTGGAATTCAAGAAAATTACTATCAACTTGAGAAGAGGTATTAGTCATTACGGAAGAAAACAGATTTATGTGGAATAATGTGTGGCCAAAAAATAACGGTAGAGGGAACTTCAAAAAAAAAGTATAAAAACTGAACTCATTATAGCATCTTTTAATTGAGGATAATAATGTACTCTCTCGACAGAAATATCACTGGGGGTGGAGGGGGTGGAGGGTGGAATTCAACAAATGACAATCATTTCATTAAAAACTTACTTAACAAATGTGTCAAATGTCCATGTGATATTTTAAAATTACTTCAGGAAGTCCTAGCTTCAATATTATAAAATATGATATAGTTTGAGTAGTTCTGAAGCATATTTAAAATAAAGATGCTGAACTTACTGCCTGTGCTTGCTTAATAAACTCAAGAATATCTTCTTTCAAAGCCTGATGAATTTTTGCTGGGCCTTTATCATCCCAGAGACAGACTGCATGCACATCGCTGTAAAAATAAAACAGATAAACAAACATTAATAATGGAACAAGAACAGAGACAAAACTCACCTTAATTTCAGATTCCATGGACCTGGCTGGACCAGTCTAATTGTGCCTGAATCCATTCACATGAACCAAGCACTCTTTGTAAGTTGTCTCACACATATATTATTTCTATTTTTATTTTCATTTGTCATTTTTTTTTTCTTTTTTTTTTAAAGATGACTGGTAAGGGGATCTTAACCCTTGGCTTGGTGTTGTCAGCACCACGCTCAGCCAGTGATTGAACCGGCCATCCCTATATGGGATCCGAACCCGGGGCCTTGGTGTTATCAGCACCACACTCTCCCGAGTGAGCCACGGGCCGGCCCTTCATTTATCATTTTTTCCTCCTTAATTCTCTGCTATTCACTGTAAAATGTTTAATTATAAAAGCATGCCTCCGGGCCGGCCCAGTGGCGCACTGCTACAGTGCGCCGCTTGGGAGTGCAACGGCGCTCCCGCAGAGGGTTCGAATCCCACGTACAGACCGGCCGCTCACTGGCTGAGCGAGGTGCGGGTGCAGCACTGAGGGTTGCGATCCCGTTGCCGGTCATGAAAAAAGACAAAAAGGAAAAAAAAAAAAAAAAAAAAAGCATGCCTCCATCTCCCCAAAGTTAACTGCTAGTAATATTTTCTTGTGCAAAAACAAGTATAAATCCTTTTAATTCTTTAACACTATAGATGAAAACTATTCTGTCTTTAAAAAAAAAAAAATTGTTATTTAAATGCCATTAAAGCAAATCGCCTAGCTTCCCAGTATATTCATTACCCATTTATATCAGTTATCGCTGTGTCTCCTTTATTTAAACAAAAAACAAAAGCTCTCATAAATTAGTATACCAAAACTCTGAACTTATAAAGCTTACATATTTAACTAAAAGATCATTCATTACAGAGATATATTTAATACTGGTACATGTTCCAGAAAGTTAATTATTTTAATTACCAAGCTGTGGAGCAGGGAAACTTACAACAGAAAGATAAGGTCCTATAATGGGGATTCATTCATTCAAAAAAATGCTCCCCAGTGACTCATTCAATACATAATGGAGCACCTGCTATAAAAAATGTCAAAGAAATAAATTTTTAAAAAATCTCCAGAATTATAACATGCCAATAGCCCAATAGTTTGTTTCATATTCTGATTCTTAGAGATATCATTATAATGAAGTTTTTTCTTTTCTTTCTTTTTTTTTTTAAAGATGACCGGTAAGGGGATCTTAACCCTTGGCTTGGTGTTGTCAGCACCACGCTCAGCCAGTGAGCGAACCGGCCATCCCTATATGGGATCCGAACCCAGGGCCTCGGTGTTATCAGCACCGCACTCTCCCGAGTGAGCCACGGGCCAGCCCTATAATGAGGTTTTTTCTGCATATTAATTTGAACTTCCTTTTGTCACTTGCTAAAGTTCAGCTTAATATGGTATCTGGTCCAGTGCCTAAGGATGCAGTAGGCACACAAATATCTGTTCAATAATAATAGGTAACATATGATTGCTTAATATGTGCCAAATACTAGTCTAAACTTAACTCATTTATTCCTCGCAGCAACTTTAAAGTGGTACTACTTTTATCCCCATTTTACAGATGGAGAAACTGAAGCAAAGAAGGATTAAGTAAAAGTCCCAAGATTACAGTTAGAATATGGTGAAGCCAGGAAATTGGGTTTCACAGCATACACTAAACCACATCCCCAAATTTATTCTTGCACCCCTAGTATCTACTTGGAAAGTAGCTAAAGTGATCTTTATAACTCAAATCACATCATATTACCCTATACTAAAAATTCTCTAATGGTTTCAGTGATTTCCTACTGGGTTTTTTTTTTGGTGGCTGCCTGGTAACAGGAATCAAACCCGAGACCTTGGTGTTCTCAGCACTATGCTCTAACCAACTGAGGTAACCAGCCAACCCTCATTGCTCTTTGACTAAAGTGCAAAGTGATTAACTGACCCTGCATACCTCTGCAGTCTCACTTTATGAGTGAAGGAATCTAGAGACAAAAAGAAATAACTTTTTGATACAAAAATTGATTGATTATAATTCAATATGTTTACAACTCTTACAGATATAAATACAAGATGGTTTAGGAACCCAAGGAGAGGGTGAGGGTGTAAGTAAGAGGTAGAGAGGAAAATGGAAGGCTTCCTGGAAGAGTTGATTCCTGAAGTTAATCTCAAAGAATAGGAGTTTGCCAGGTAAAGATGGGGGTGGGGGTATTTTATGAAAAATAACATCATAAGTAAAGAACTGTGCATGTTTATGATGATTATAGTGAACTATAAGCAAATCAATGTTGCCTAGTGTGTAAAGCGAAGAGTGATAAAGATGAAATTGTGCAAACTAACTCTTTATTCCCTGCATTTGGTCACAGTCCTATTGTACCCACCACGTAACTGTCTCTCCAATTTGGACATTTCTATCCATCACCATTACCACAGTCAAAGTCACCATCATCTTTTAATTAGTTTAATATAACATATACTCACTGCTTACTAAGTGCCTGCACTTCACATTGACTCATGTGTTACTTTAGGTCTTACAAGAAACTGATGGGATTAGAAATAGATTTATTTATTTATTTATTTTTAATTTTTTTTTTTTCCTTTTTGTCTTTTTTTGTGTCCAGCAACGGATCGCAACCCTCAGTGTCGTGCCCGTACCGGACCAGGACCGGCAACGGGATCGCAACCCTCGGTGTCGCACCCGCACCTCGCTCAGCCAGTGAGCAGGAACCGGTCTGTATGTGGGATCCGAACCCTCGGCGGGAGCGCCACCGCGCTCCCAAGTGGCGCACTGTAGCAGTGCGCCACTGGGCCGGCCCAGAAATAGATTTATTGAGGGAATGCCTGTGGAAAAAAAATGAAAAGTAAGCTAGAGAAAGCTGGGTGAGTGATAAACCCACAATGTAGGTCTGAGCACTGCAGGGGAAGAGAAGGAAGGAAGGTTGGACAGCAAAAATCATATACTGCAGTACAGTTCTAAGAAAGCATGGCAAAACTATCAGAGAGTTCTGGAGCCAAAGTCACCGGTAAAAGGAGTCCTGTGCTTCTCCCAAATGGCCCACCTTTGTGTCCCTGTCGTACTCAAACCATTGTCAGAAGCGCTCAAACACAACTTGAGTCTCATAAGGCAAAAGGGAACGGTGTGGTGAAGGGAGTGGGATTGGGTAGCTCCCTAGAAATCTCACCCATGGAAGAGTCAAACTTTTGAGTGATTGGTACATCTTCTCCAGCTCTCTTTTCTCAAACTCCAGGTACTCCTATGCATTGCTACATCATGGAAGAAGGTCCTCAATGTACTTTTTTTTTTTTCTTCCTTTTTTGTCTTTTTTCGTGACCGGCAACGGATCGCAACCCTCAGTGTCATGCCCGTACCAGACCGTGACCGGCAACAGGATCGCAACCCTCGGCGTCGCGTCCGCACCTCGCTCAGCCAGTGAGCGGCCAGTCTGTATGTGGGATCCGAACCCTCGGCGGGAGCGCTGCCGCGCTCCCAAGTGGCGCACTGTAGCAGTGCGCCACCGGGCCGGCCCCTCAATGACTTTTTAAAATTAAAAACACAATATGTACTCACCATCACACAACAGAACATGTTAAATATCCTGGTGAATTTTCATAACATTTTGAAGAAAATGTTATAACATATTTGAGGAAAATATTATGATAATATCCATAAAGTCCTCTATGTTCTTCTCCCTAATCTCCCCAGAAGTAACCAAGCCTGGATTTTTTTTCAAGTTTTACCACATATTATGAGAATTTTTGAACTTTAAAGAAATCATAGCAAATAATAATTTTTTAAGCAATTTTTACACTCAGCATTGTTTCTGATATTTACCCATATAGTTACATATAGTTCTAGTCGTGTGCTCTGTTACATCAAATATTATACCTAAAGATAAAAGGGAAAAGTAATAGTGAGCAATAAATATATATATGAAATTAAGTCTGAATTGATAAGAACACACTCTTTTGGAATATATAACCAAAGTTCTTTTATAAAAAGAGACATGCTACAGGGAAATTCTTTGTAAATATTTATATATAATAGAAAAATCTAGGAGCTGAAGAGTGGGAGAGGGAGGAAATAAAAGCTTTTCAAAGGTTTTTAGAGGACAGAGAGAAGGCATGGGAGAAGCAGCAGGAGGTAAAAAGTATTCTAAAGGCTTCAACTTCCTTAGATAGGAGAAGTAAAAAAGAAATGTGTAAACTTGGTGTGGAAAAAAAAATAGGTATTTTGATTTCAATTAATAGTAACACAATATGCTTCTAACTGGGAGCAAGAAACAGGAAGGTAACCACTAATGGAAGTGAACTTTCAAATTAACAAAAACAAGGAAAAGGAAAATGAAGAAACAATGATATCTAATAAATGATAAAGTTATAAAAGCAATAAAAACAAGAATATTAGTCATAAAATTAAACCTGAACTGAATAAATTATCCCATTTAAAGACAGCATGCCAGGACTGGACAGTTAGCTCAGTTGGTTAGAGCACGGTGTTATAACATCAAGGTCAAGGGTTTGGATCCCTGTACCAGCCAACCACCAAAAAAAAAAAAAAAAAAAATATCTTTTAAAAGGATAAATGCTGTATGATTCCACTTATATGAGGTACTCAGATAGGCAAATTCACAGACAAACAGTAGAATGGAAGTTACCAGGGGCTAGGGGAGAGGGAATGGGTAGCTATTGTTTACCGGGTATGGAGCTGGTTTGGGATGACAAAGAAGTTCTGGAAATGGATAATGTTGATATTTGTACAACCCTGTGAATGTAATCAATGCCACAGAATTTTACACTTAAAATGGTTAAAAGGGTAAATTTTATGTAATGTATATTTTAGCACAATTAAAAAAATAAACACACACACACAAAAGACAATCTATCTTAAGATATACCAAACAACAACAAATCAAAAGAAAGCGGGGGTGGCAATATGAATATCATCCAAAAAGAAATTTAAGGTTAAAAGAATTAGAGAAGAAACATTATATAATGATAAAAAGCATTATTTATGAAGATATGTCAGGATATTCACACT